GGTCATGATTAGAAACGCCTCGAATAGGAGCTATGTTTCTAGAGTTGCAGATGGTGGTCGTAAAGAAACTTCAGGCTTGCTTTTTAAAATCAATTTTGTATTCTGTTGCCAATTCCATAATTTTCTGAAGTTCCAAACATAAGTATATTTTCATACTCAATAGATAACAAAACATTAAGAAATTTCTGTTCTCTCTCTGCATTCATTCTTCTGGTTATTGTTTTGCCTTACTGCAATTCAGTCTACTTCTCCCTATTTTTCATTAATGATAAAAAGGGTTCAATATTCAACTATTATAATCAACCAAGATATGAAATCCCAAAGACAATTTGTAAGACCGAGGGAAAGAAACTACGTGCGTTAATATGAAAGCAAAAGTTGAAGAATGAAAACAGACCTATGCTCTCCATAGCTATACCAGGAGCCCTTCTTTACCACAACATCCAACATCTCAGCACAATCCAAAACGCATCCCTGCAAATTTGGTTTGAGGTAAAATCAAAAAGCATAATTTGCATCTTAGAAAACAATAAATGCCTTTCTATTGGAATACCAACCAGTTTACTCACACCCTCCCCAAATATGATTTCGAATTCTGCTTGCTTGTAGGGCCGAGATACCTGTAACAACAAAGGTAGCATCAGCCAAAACTAGAAAAGAAGTAAATAAAAAGAATGATTATTCTCATCAATTACATGCATCTTTGGACCTAATGTTTTCCCTGCCAGAATAAAAAGCAAGGATTATAATTCAGTTTTTGGATATTATTAATTCCTGCAAAAAGGCTTATACTAGAAGGATAAGAAATTGTAATGGAACTTATTCAAACTATCGTCATTTATATGATACAGTAGGCATGTTGAATGCCATTCTATCGACAGTTTTATGTATTTGTGCGCAGAAAATCATTCACAATCACAACAATATAGAACTGAAGATATAAACATGGTGTCATTCCTTTTATAATCTAATTCGATAGGCCTATGTCCCAGCCAAAACCATTCCCTGCTGAATGTGAGATTATCATATCTTTTTTATGGCATGAAAGAAAGCAGCTAAGTTTATTTTCTGAAGCTGCAGCAAGAAATTCATATTGACATATGATAAATCATTATGCAATATTTGAATTGTTCATAACCATTAAAAAAAAAAAAAAATCTTAAATCAGAACAAATTAAAAAAGAATGTATTTCCTTTGCAAAACTTTACATATGTTGACACCATCCTAACCTTACTCTTCTGCACCCTCACGCGGACTCGAAGCCCAATATCCTCATCTCCTTTGGCCTAAAAACAAGGTTAACTTTTCCATAATGAGGATGAAATATAGATGGTTTCATGAAATACAATAAGAATATTTACATGAGAGAGAGAGAGAGAGAGAATATCAAGGGAGCTATTGTCCTTACAGACTTTATCTTCCCCGTAGGACGTATTTCTAGGCGAACAGATGCAAAGAACTTCAATGCAATTCCTCCACTAGTTACTTCTGGATTCCCATAGTATACACCAATCTTAGAAAGCGAAACAGAGCAACTCCATTAGTCACTAAAGAACATCAATAAACAAATGTTTCTTTTGCACAGTGGAGTATGGCACTCTAGAAATTTAAGATGCAAAAGAACTGGAATACTTTTAAACGTGTTAAAAATGACTTGATCAAGTTGTTGCAGGCCCAACCAGTCACGAAACTGCAGTTTTCATGATGATATATCAATTAGAATTATATGGTTAAACAATAAGAAGTACCTTGTATCTAATTTGGTTCAGAAATATTAGAGTACAGCCAGCTTTAGAGGCATTTCCTGACATTTTACGCAAAGCTTGGCTCATAAGACGTGCTTGCAATCCCATTTGCTGCATTCCAATCTCACCCTATATACAATATAATATACAACTTTGACACAGACAACCTCATGCTTCTTAATGGAAGAAAGATATAGAAAAGGGGAAGACTGATAAAATACTTCGATCTCTGCTCGAGGCGTGAGAGCTGACACGGAATCAACACAGATAAGATCTATGGCACCAGATCGACACATACGATCTGCAACTGATGTGTGAAAAACTATTGGTTATATTGCATCATATGTATGATTATCATGCAATGAAATTCATGAGTGTTACTCAAGTGCAGTGTTCAGCCATCAACCTGTGCACAAATTAAAAGGTAAAAGAAAAAGGTTTATTACTTTCCAGTGCCATCTCGCCATTGTCAGGTTGGCAGACAATCAAGTTTTCTACATCCACTCCCAATGCTTTTGAATATGATGGATCGAAGGCATGCTCTGCATCAACAAGCATTGCATGGCCTCCAAGCTTCTGCATCGAGTAGTAAATAAGAGCTGTAGGATGTCTCAAGAAAGTCGAGAACTTACAAGAACTTTCTACTAACAGACAAAAATCAAATTACAGAAGAAAATCCCAGATGAGTAATTACCTGTACTGCTGCAATTGCATGGAGTGCTAGGGTTGTCTTTCCACTACTCTCTGGTCCAAATATCTGCCAAAAGGAACAGCAGATTTTAACAGGTTTTTGTAGCAGAACTTAAATCAGACAAACAATGTTATTCTGACAATCATAATTAGTTCCCTAACCATCTTGTCTCGTGGTGAACAATGGGGAGAAGGCTTTGGATTCACCTCCTAGCCAATATTAGGCATCTACTGGATGGTGAATGGTTCCATCTCAGTAAAGCTCCTTGCTTGGGAAAGTATACGAGCTGCCAAGAGCAAGAAGAACATCGTTGCTCTCATTCCTAGTCCATTTTTAGGACTATATAGAGGGAAAAGGAATAGAAGAGTTTTTGAGGCTCATGTATCTAGCTTTTCTAGAATTAGTGATCTTTGGTTCCAGACCTTACATATTTTGCTTAAAGGTCATCCTCTCCTCAGTGGAGAAGATTTAGGGACCCTTGCTGCTTTGGTTCTTTCATAGGCAAACAAAAAAATGGTGGATCACCCTCTAATGCATCTCCCTCTCTTTCATGTACTTGGTAGTGAGCCCCTTTGGTGTCTTGTTTACAATAATCCCTTTCTTTTCCAAAGAAAGGAAGAAGATTTCTTGTATATCTGCTAATAAAGTTATAGCCAATTTATAGACTTTTTCCAATCGAGAAAATAGAAAATAATATAATATAATACATGCAAGATATTAAACCTAATAACTAAGGATAAGTCAAGATATATGATACATAGTAATTATTCCCAAAAGTACTCCTAGAATCATTAGTTAGAATTATTCCTAAAATCATGATCAACGTGCCTCCTTAGGGTGGCAAACAAGTATCACATGTCCCAAGCATTAATAACTGTCTCAGGTGCCTCCTTATTGCCAGGGGATTTCTTAGCTTGGTTCCTGCTTTTTCAAATTGACTTCAGCCTTCCATTTTTGGCATCATAAATGTTCATCTTTCCTACAAAGTCTCAGGTGATAGGATTGCTACCTATCTCAGACAAGCATTAACAATGACCTGTTGATGAATATTCATCTGCCTGGTTAAGC